TAGAGATGATGAGAGAGAGAGAGAGATTAATCAATAGCGTATGTACGTTATCAAATACATAGTTTGTTATATTCCCGCTGATCTTTCTTCTTTTTTATTGACTTCTACATTTCTACATGTTTTGCGCGTCCTGTCCTCATTGAGGCAAGGACATTGTTGACTCGTATGCATGTACACGTAATAAATTTCACGCGCGTATTCGGCATCTGACAGACTCTCTGATAGATCTCTTTGACATTGTTTGTCTCTTCTTCTCTTTCTTTTGCCGTGATGCTTGCTTCGATTCCTCGGCTTCGACTTTGTCTTTATATTTAAAAGATATTTAGTTAGATGGAGAGAAAGATGAAAATTTTTATATTTTACTTGCCTCTGTGTCATAAATACGCACGCACGCACGCATGATGTGATACCGAGGCAAGATAGAAGGAACCTCGATCAGAATTTTATCATTTAAAGAATATATCTCAAAACTATTTATTACTATAGAAGATATATTAAAAGGGATTTGACAGATTTTTCCTCTAGCAAAATTAATCATTCTCGATCGACAAACGGAACAAATTTATGTTATCTTTCTCCGAAAAGAAAAGGTTTCTTGTTATTTTTAAAATACACGTGTTATATTTTGTACGCAAAAAGAACCTAATATTACAAAGCTGCTCTTAAATAAAGAAAAAAAATATATCTAAAAAGGAAACTATCCCGAAGTGGTTTTAAGTTAAATAAAATATTTCTTAACACCCCCATCCCCCTCCCTTGTACAACAGGTTTATCTCCAGATATCAAGATATTTCACTATAAAAGTAGTTTGATCTTGAAAACGTTCCGTCAATTAACGACACGTAAATGTACATAAATGATAGATAAATGATAAATCTAAACTTAATTTTTCTCTCCATCCATGATCAATGATGCTAGATTGCATCCAAGCTCTTTGCAATGACCCGCTTGGTGTGATAACTCGATAAATTTCTTGGAACTTCATCTCCCAGCGCGCGAGACGCAACGAAGCGTTCTTGTTAAAGCATCAGCAGAAGACGACGATATATCACATCGAGACGATACGATGCGATACGATGCTTTCGCATGTCTACTCGGATTGTGGAGTGATTTCAATGAGCATCGATCGTTAAAATAAACGAGCTAACTTGCGATAAAGCCGGCTCCGGCTTCGTTATGATAATCCGTCAGCAAATTTTTTTATCGATCCGCTTGCGAAAACAGATCGCATGGAACTGCATGTAATCTAATGTAGGTATATCTAATTAAAAGTGCGTAACAAATCATATGTATTGTGTACAGAATACACAATCCGTATACAAATTTGCAATAATATAGTATAATAATGACAAGACATAAAGACATGCCAATGTGTGCCTCCTGGCGTGCCTGGCGCGCCTCGCTTCTTTGGCCAATATATTTTCATTCGCTACCTTATCTGCTCCGTTTTGAACAGGCCCATTTGTTTGTTACACAAACATGTTAAACATATAGAATAACCAAATAGTTATAATCAATTTTAGTTATAATCTATTTGACTTTTGAAATCTGAAATTATTTTTCAAGCTGATATAATACGACCATTCGTAAAAGGAAAAGTTTAGAAATAATATTCTTGTGAGAAAGAACTCTCTTTTTATGATTCATATTTGCGTGTTAAAATTATTCAAATTATGCTCTATAAGCATTTTTTTATGTTTTCGAATCCTAATACTTCAATACAATTCTCCGATTCAAATCTAAAAGAGCTATCCTGATATTGTGTCTGTGGATGAGTATACAATTCTCGGTACAAAATCTATCGTAACTTTGTTGTTATCATGTTAAAATAGACATAATATATCATATCGTATAATACGTTTAAATTTATTGCATGAATAAGCGTTATATCTGATTTACACGAAATGAAACGAATTTAAAGTACTTTACAATAAATTACACGTCTTAATTTATTGTGCTCGGAAAGTTACCACGACGAAAGATTTTTTTTATTATAAAAAACAAACATCATCCGTTTGTTCGTACATCCTACACACACACACACACACACACACACACACACACACACACACATTTTTTGAGACATTTGCGTAAGCATACACATCAGATACGCATCGATGCTTTTTATAAATTGCATGCAAAATCTGCTTCAATTCATCTAACTAAAAAATCATCACAAGTGTTTAAAGTAACAAACAAAATAATAAATGGAAAAAAATCAACGCGATTTTACGCGAGTTTATGCTCGTGACACATTGAGCATAGCTCGCGTGAAATATTAAGAATCGGGGAGAAATGTAAAGCTCGCAAAGTTAACGTTGCAATGAAAAACTGTTATAAAAATATTAACGCAATTAATTAAATATTAACACATTTTTATTCACGATCGATCGGTACATCGGACAATCGTTCGATACATATCGACTGACAATAATTTAAGACTAGTCACAAAGATACGCTGTTTCTAAAGACCGTAACGTAGGAGTAGAGGGTTGTTGAACTTTCGGACGCATTCGGGATCCTTGAAGTCTCTGGGCAGAAGATTCCAAACCCGTCCACCGTGGCGGAGCAGAGAGGCGCGTACCTTCGGTCTGAGAAAAGTAAATGTGATCGGGCTAGTGGTGTCCAACACGCGGCCGAACAGGATCGATTTGTTTCTCAGGGTGACCGAGATGACGTCGCCCGGCAGTAAGTAGTCATAACCCAGAGCGCCAACTATCTGTTCTCTGGGTAAAACGAGGTTGAAGCCATCCGAAGAAACGGTGCTGGCTGAACTGCTGGCCACGGCGGAGGACGCCTGCGAGCCAGCGGAAGCGGAGGCCGCCGCGGCTGATGAGGCAATGGATGATGGAACCGTGACGACGTGGCTAACTCGCGGACGGATCGACGGATACCTGATCCGACGATCAATGTCCAGATCAAGTCCTCGATATCGAGCAGGCTCGAGCAAAGAGCCATCGCCGCTCTGCGTGGAGGAGGCGGACGCACTCGCGGTCGCAGCCGCGGCTGCGGCAGCGGTTGCGGCCGCCGGTGCGACAGTGGACAAACCCGGTCTGAGTCTGTGTCTGCGTAACGGCGAAACAAGCGGCATTGTCCGTTCGACAATCGGATTCGGGACTACGTTCGCGGCTGAAGAAGTTGCCGCTGCGGATGCAGCCGTGGACGCAGCCGCGGACGCAGCCGCGGAAGTGGCCGCCACCGCGTTACTCTCAAGGACGGCAGGCACCGCGATCTCCTCGACCACGATCGGGGCGTACACTTGCGGAACAGTCTGATAACTCGATGATTCGATTACCGGCGATGCTGCCGCCGTTGCCGCCGTTGCCGTTGCCGTTGCCGTCGCGGCTGCAGCCGTCGAAGAGGTCGACTCGTAAGGAATTGTCGTCAAGGGGACTATCGTCGGTCCAGCGGAAATCACTGGCTGCGGCGTTTCGGCGACAGTAGCGGTGGCAGTGGCGGTGGCGGACGCTGTCGAGGAGCTCGCAATTTCGGATTCAACAGGTGCGACGATGGGTGCTATCGGGCTTACTATCGGGCCTACTATCGAACCACTATCGATACCAACGGAGCTCGATGCGCTGGACGCGGCGGATGCGCTGGATGTGGTTACCGTGGATGTGGTTGTCGTAGCCTCTTGGATCGGTCCGCATCCGAAATGATTAAAGAAGGGCAAATACGAACTCATTCTGGAATATATCGGAGACGTGAAGAAACTCCTCGCACCGGTCCTGATCAAGTGGGGTAATCCAGATGCGTGGTAGCCGTCGTAGAAACCGCGGAACGAAGACAGTACTTCCGCCAATGATCTTTGGTAATCCGAGACTATAATTGGGCCATCGCTAGAGGCGGTCGCTGTCGCTGTCGCTGTTGCCATTGTCGCGGATGCCGCTGTAGGTAGGATTGGTTCCGCGATCATTTCCTCCAATGGCAGGATCGAGCCGAATCCTTTCAAATGATGCAGCTTTTCTCGTAAACGCACCCCCAGGTGATGATGATGATGATGAAGATGAGAGAACAAGTGTCGAAAAATATGAGAGACATGTCCGCGAACGAGATCACACACAAAGTCCAGCACCTTAAAGAAAACGTGTTTGAGTCGATGAATGGCACCGGTGATGCTGGGGAAAGGTACAGCGTCCTGGATTATATCGGGCAAGATCAACAGATGATGAGGCTCTCTAATGACGGCATGGAGAAGATGTGACGTGTGATGAAACAAATGGCCGAAAATGCCATCGGTAACAACCTCCCCAGCTATCAACGGTCCCAAACTAAGCTCGGACTTGAAGTTTCTCAGAACGATCAAACCATAGTGCCAGAGCTTCCTCAATTCGCAGGAAAACTCATGCACGATCGTACCCGACACATGCGAGTGACCGTGTGAGAAGGCCTCGACTTCACAAGAGTGAGCATCCAGATCGGTCAGAGGAACGACATCCCACAAATCGGTCCCAAGAAGATCGCTGGACGCGCTGGATGCGGCTGCGGCTGCGGCTGCAGCTGCAGATGCGATCGCTTGACGCTTTGGTAAATTGCTCGATATCTCGAATTTCGTAGCATTCTGCAAACAAACACAAGACAAGATTACAATTCTCATCTGTAATCGTGGCACGCTTTGCTTTTTCAAATTTTAAAATTTTCACGTTTACGAATTTTTATTGTTAGATGATGCTAAAGATGTGGTATCACAGATGCGACATAGAATCAACTATCACGAATCAATTGTAAAAAATTTTTTCTCTAATTTTTCTCTATCGATTAAATATAAATATTATTGTTCAAGTTTCAACGACGATTACGTATTGTAGATGTTTATAATCGGTTACCTCTGCTTCTCGCAATTGTTGCAATCTTTCAGCAATGTCTTCCTTATCCGCGAGAATCAATGCTTGGATGAGATCATGCATATCTCTGTACGAGAATACATCATCCTAAAAAAAGCGGAGAATAGCTTTTTTAAATGTGCTTCAATTCCGATTTATCCTTTCTGATTCTCAATAATAAATAGATAACGTAATTACCTTAGCACCTTCTTCTTCCTCTTCGACGTTGTTGCTCTTCGATGTTGTTTTACGCGTGTTCGGTTTCTCTTGTTCTTCGTTCTTCTCATCGTCCTTCTGACCTCTCTCTTTTGCCTCTTCTCCGATCGCTTCTCTTTTATCGTACGCCACGAATGTTGGCTCCGATACTTCTTCCTCCAATTCTAAAGGATTATTGTTGTTGAAATATTCCGCTTCTGCTTCCTTTTCTCTCTTTTCCCGAAGAAATGTTTGTGTCTCATGCTTCTTCAAGGCATTAGGAATATCCAAGTCATGCTTTACGAAAGCCGAACTTAAAGATAAACAGGTCAGGAAGACGATGGCGAATGCCGCGAGTATATTATTCGTATTCGCCATGATGAGCTTCGATGAGAAACTCGATGACTCTAGCTACTACAGGCTGCTTCATATACCCTCAGAATCATTATCATCGTATTCAGATTCGGCACGAAGATCGTGATGGAATCAAATAACACCGGAGATTGTTGGCCGTCAACGATTGCCAACTGAGATACGTGCTGATGCGCGTGAGATTATCCATGATCTCATCAGCGACTCGCTTTGTAACGAAGCACGATTCATCCAATATTAGTCTAAAAGGTTGTTA